ATAAGACTACAAAGTTTTGTAGACTTTATTCAAAGTGGTTACATTTATTCCTGCACAGATTTATCTAAAAGCTTTTTTGTTCTGAGCAGTGCATATTTTTCTAAAGAGCAGATTAAAAACAGAACAATGATCGACGTGCATTCAGAAAGCAGACAACATGCAGGATTCAGAAATGATCTGTCATTTAGTTGAAGTTTTTTAGTTGAGTTTTTTCTAATTGAGTTTTTCTCCGCTGGCTGATTGTGCAGCTCCACTCAGTCTACACAGCTTCTTAAACTGTGCTCCATATACTGTTCAATAGTTTTTCTTTGTTGCTGTCCTCCAACACTGTCCTTTCAAAACTCAAATAATAAAACCCGCCTACGTGAGGACTAGTCATGAGATGTCAAGAAGTCAATAAAAAAGCCACTTAATGAAACATATCTGTCAATGAAAGTCAGGGGCATGACTGCATCACTTGAATATTTGACTTGTTGAATAAATAATTTCAGTATAAAAACATTTTCTAACACTTGAATCAGAAATATCAGAATAAGAGTTCCAGGAGAACTTTTTCTTTTCATCTCTAAATTAATTGGAGTATTTAATGACTGCAGAGTGATGATCAGGTTTGGTTGAATGTACTGGAAGTGTTTTTTGATTCTGTGTGCTGGATAATAACTTTTGTTCAATGATGCAAAAAATTTCAGATTAAACTGATGAAAACATTTTGTCCTTACAGTGATGCACTCTCTGAAGCATTTCCTCACGGCGTCTTCTGAAGTCACAAACTTCCCAGAGTTTGTGGCTGTTGGGATAGTTGATGATATTCAGGTTGGACACTACGACAGTAACACCAAGAGAGTAGAACCCAAACAGGACTGGATGAACAAAATCACAGAAGACAAAGCTGACTACTGGGAGTGGCTCACTGAAAGAGCTGTGTATCACCAGCAGACCTTCAAAGTCAGGCTTGACACTTTCAAGCGGCGCTTCAACCAAACTGGAGGTTTGTTTATGATTCAATTTATACTGAAAAAGATTGTTTGTAATTTGATCCTGAATTTTAGTGAACAGGTGTTACCACACACACACACAGACACACACACACACACACACACACACACACACACACACACTCACACACAAACACACACACATCAGTGTCGCTCAGACTAAAGAAGTCATTTAAAGATTTAATCTCAGCCTCTGAGAAGTTGTGATGGACTTGTTTGACTTTTTATTGACATTTAACAGATTCAAACATTTATTGATTGATTTAAAAAAAGCCGTTACATCATCAAGACAGTCTCTGCCTTATTGTGAGGAGCTGTAGTAACACGCTGCTGAACTCTGTGAGGGCCGAGCAGGAGGAGTCTACAGAGTGATCCTGGACTGAGACTCTCCTTCAGAGGACACTTGGAGAACAGCTCGGGACAGTCGAGTGTGTGGTTTCTCACAGGACGAGCGAAATGTTGGACTGATCCACAGAGAGTCCACGTTCAGTCCAGGACCAGTTTAATCTGAGTCTGCTAGTCAGGACTAGAACTCAGAGAGAGAGAGAGACTCAATGTGTCTCTGATGTAATAATAAAGGATTTAAACTATACCTCTCTCTCTCTCTCTCTCTCTCTCTCTCTCTCAGGTGTTCACATTGTCCAGTGGATGGTAGGCTGTGAGTGGGATGATGAGACTGGAGAGGTTCATGGTTATGATCAGTTTGGTTATGATGGAGAAGACTTCATAGCTCTGGACCTGAAGACATGGACGTGGGTCGCTCCACAACAACGGGCTGTCTCTATCAAACAAGAGTGGGATAATAACAAAGCTCATTTAGCGTATCTTAAGATTTACTACACCAAGGAGTGCGTTGACTTGCTGAAGAAGTTTGTGAACTATGGGAGGAGCTCTCTGATGAGAACAGGTAGGATCAAATGACCTGATGGAGTTGAATTCTGACAATGTTCATCATCTTCTTTTCTTGTTTATCTTGTAATTGAACAATAAATATTTCACACATGTTTCTATCACACATGCTCTGTCTTCATCTTTAAGCTTCCCCTTACCTTTCCCTTCATGTTAGATCTCTTTCTCTCTGCTGCTCATCGCTCTCTCTCAAAGTTTCTCTGTGTTTTTATTGTACTTTCTCTCTCTCCTCTTCTTCTTCTTCATCAATCCATCTGAACCCCCCTCACCTCTCTTCTTCTGTTTCTTCCCCTCTGACCCTCTCTTCTTTGAATTATACTTTAATAAGGTTGATTTTCATTGTTGACTCATTGGATTTTAAAGTCCCTTTTTTTCCCAGTACATTTAAAAAGTGTCATCAAACATGAGTTGTAGCAGTATTTAAGAGTAAATCCTGATAAAGAAACTCTAATCTGTCTTCCTGTTTGTCCTCCAGACCTCCCCACAGTGTCTCTCCTCCAGAAGACTCCCTCCTCTCGGGTCACCTGCCACGCTACAGGTTTCTACCCCAACAGAGCCATGATGTTCTGGAGGAAAGATGGAGAGGAGCTTCACGAGGACATGGACAAGGGAGAGATCCTCCCCAACCACAACGGCTCCTTCCAGATCAGCGCTGACCTTCAACTGCCCTCTGATGACTGGGGGAAGTACGACTGTGTGTTTCAGCTCTCTGGTGTGAAGGAGGACATCGTCACCAAACTGGACAAACGAGAGATCAAGACCAACTACGGTAAGACCTCGATGAGAAGTGATGAAAGAGAGGATTTGACTGTAACAGTCGTGTGATGGAGGGAAAGTTTAGTTGTGACTTTTTCTTTCTTTCAAACTCTTCAAATTGTGAAAGTATTCAGAAAAAGAGTTTAAAGGTTCAGCATTAAAGCAATGATAATGTTGACCTCTGGACCTTTTACAAGAAAGAAACTATTCCAGAGTTTTAAATGGATTAATAACGTAGAGAGAGAGAGAGAGAGAGAGAGAGAGAGAGAGAGAGAGAGAGAGATGAATAAAGCTGCAGGGCTGGAATAGTGCAGATATACTTCAACTCTCCAGTCCACATGTTTATTAAAGTATTCGAATGAAAGCACTCATCATTGTGTCTGATGAACACTGAAAGAGATTTGAAAAAGACACAAAGAAGGACCAAAAGATTAAAACATAATCATAAAGCTGTGCAGAAAAGGTCCAAAGTGGAGCATAAAAAATGATCAGAATGCAGGAAAAGAAATGTCTGATGCTAACATTTTTCTGAGGGGAGACCCCAAGATGCAGTTTTCACTTAAAAGTTGAAAAAAAAAGAATCATGTGAGAGAATCGTGATCTCAGATCTCAGGGAGAAAAATCATGATTCACATGTTAGCATCTCTTTTTCATTTACAGCCACATCATTTAATTTCAGTTTCTCTTATTATTTGATAATAATTAATACATTAATAATAAATAATAAATAAATTAAAGTTTTCAGTTTTTAAATCCATCAAGAAAACGATTGAATCAAACACAGTTAGAGTGCTATTGTTGAAGAAAAGTCAAACATGTTTATTTTGAGAGATTAAAGGCACTGTGTTGACTTCTCAAAGTTAAAGTTTTAAAGGATGAATGTGTGACATGTTACACATAAATATATCAGAAATCCAGTCTATCCTGTGTGAATGTCTCCGAGTGTGGAGGAGGCGTGGCGAAACAGCAGTTTGTTTTGGTTTGACATCTACTGGATCAAGAAGTTACACATTCATCCTTTAGTTGAAGAGAAGATCAAGTTGATGAATTACTGGATGTATAAATATATCTGTCAGTAAATCATTCACGGTGAGTTTTCTTTTCCTTGTTCAGTCAAAATGAGTTTGAATCCGTTTGTCAAAATCTCTCAGAGCGAAACATCAACATATAAAGAAATCAGCATTCAGATAAAGGACGACAACACGACTGGAAGATGAATCAAACATAGATACAGGATTTATTTACAGACAAGTGGAGATTCAAATGAAGAGCGGCAGGAAAAACAGTGTTTATTTACAGGATGATGATTGTCTGCTTGGCACATGTTTTCCTCCTCTAACCTGCTTCATCTGCACAGGTTGTAACTGTGGTTTGTTGATTTGTGCTCAACAGTGAATCCCATGAACACCGTCATCCCCATTATCGCCATCATCGCTGCACTCGTTCTTCTCGGCCTCGCTGTCATTGGATACAAGAAATACAGAGGCAGAAAATGTAAAAGACACAAACTTTGTTCTTTTTGGTGTTTTAAGTTTTTAAATGTTATTCTTTGAGTTTATTAAAGGTGCACTTTGTAGATTTGGTAGAGAAATGTGGAAGTTGAAAAAATGTACAGATTCTGTGGTATATGTTCATAACTCTATACACAAACTGTCCTCAGAGGAACAATGTTTGAAGATAAAATGCTCTGAGAGAAGTTATGGTGGGGGGCTTCAACAGTGACACTGTAACTCTCCTGGTAGCTTTTTAGCTCCAAACAGAGTTCCAGGGACCCATTTTTCCTTCGAGTAAAGTTTATGTATTCAGTTCAGGAAATGGAACAGAGAATTGTTTCACTTCTCCAACTTCCAACTTTCAGTACCAAATCTACATATTGCACCTTTAAGACTTTAATACCTGTTGTATCAAAATCTGTTTCAAACAGTAAGGAAGTTTTCCAGCTGTGTCGTATTTTATGACTTTTAAGGGCGTTTTCACATCAGGCATGATTGTTTTGTACAGTACCCGAGCAGGATTATCCTCCCCTCCCCTCTCCCCCGATGGTCCCCACATTAGTAACATTGTTCTGTGTATCGCGGTCCACTTCCTCGTTTGAGCACGGTTGTGTTCACATCTCACACGGACCAAGCGGACTTGGGCACGGTAGCTGAGTACAGTACGAGTACGGTATGTTTGTGTTCACACTGATCAAATGAACCGGACTTTAGTGTCCAGTGTACTTGGATCTGGACTTAGATCCAGGCCTGGGTCCCTGGTGTAAAACCCCCCTAAGAAAGAGAGATGAATTTAATATTGTTTGTTTGATGTTTTTATTTATTTATTTAATTTTAGTACACGAGACAAAGTGAGCTGTGTGCTTAAGTCGAGATACATGTGTCAGTTGAAGGTTTAAATCCTGGAGTTAAGTTACTAGAAAAGGGGAAGAAATTATTTTCTGGCTTTCTGACCTACGTGAGAACTAAAACGACCCGTCTTTGTTTTTGTATTTCAGCTACATGTGAAACATCTCCTGAAAACAGCTCTGAGCTCGCTGAGAAACTGAATCCAGAGCCTAAATGATGAACACACCACCCTGCACCCTGTGAGTTTCTCTCTACGGGACGTGGACCATTCTCACTGTTAAAAACGCCGTTTTAAACGTCGTGTTAAAGAAGCTTCTTTGTTAAACTTTTGTGAGGTTGAAATGAGTGTAAATATGTAGCTTTGTAGAGCTGATCTCTCCAAACACTGATGTGTTATACGATTGTTCGATTTGACCGTCTTCATCTCTGCAGGTTTCTTGAAACATTTTGCTCGGAAACAATCAGAGTGAAGGTCGTCTGTGTGCGTTACTGGAGTCCACCTCTCTCACACTGCAGTCACCGTAACGCTCTGCAAGATGAGCCAGAATGAAAACAGACTAATGGAGTTTCATCTCAGTGGTGAACTGTCTTAAATTTGTACCAAACACAGATAATAATTCAATCTTGTTCCTTCCACGTCTTTAAAAGGCCTCCCTATGATCACACACGTGAAATAAAATCATCAGTTCAAGATTCATCTTCCATCTGTGTAAATAGTCTGCTTGTACATTTTATATACATTTTGTTTTATTACTAAAAAACCAAAGCAAATAATAATTCTTGTCTCTGAGTTTTTTTAACGGATAAGGAGAATGTTTTTTTTTAAATAATATTCCTCTTTTGATTTATTTTGAAACATTTTTATTAGAGATGTCAAACGATGACAATTTTTAATCACAATTAATTTCTAAATTTAAATAGTTAATCATGGTTAATCACATTTTTAATTTGCACGTTTGAAATAAATTGCTGAGCTTTTATTTTAAAATATTTGTACTGTCTTAGGCTGAGAGTACTTTACCTGCTGTTTGAATTTAGCCCTGCTTTTATTTTGAAATAGAGTAAGGAGCTTCCTGTTGATGGAAGGTTAGGAAATGAACTAAAACACAGAAACAGGAAGTGGTTATGGATCCCAAAGTGAGGTCAAACAGCTCAAAGGAACCGTAACAAAGGTCAATGTGTGATGTCAAAAGGTCAATGTTTGACATCATAAGGTCAATGTGTGATGTCATAAGGTGGATATTACTGTCTGAGAGTTTGTTAAAGTGAAATGAGACATTAAAAGATGAAGCAGTGTTCTTTTACATCACTGAGACTACAGGGAGACACTGAGGACCACTATCTACGGAGAGCCTGAAGGGACAAAATAAGATGAGATTAATCGTGATGAACTCGTTAATGCTGACAGCTCGAATTATTGTGTTTTATTTTGATCAGAGATCCTAAAATGTTTGTGGGAGGTTTGAAGCTTCTCAGCTATCCAGTTAAAATCTTGTATGTAATTCCTGCTCGTGTTCAGGAACAAGGGATGTTTTCTCTTTGACTTTTGTGAATAGAAGTGGAAGATGAATTCTCAGAATCACTTCCTGTGTTGGGTTAAGTTAACTAGTGGTGTTGAGCTGCTGTTTCATGCCTTTGTACTGTTGGGCCACGCAGGCTTAGGACAGTCAAACAATGGACTTGGGCCTGCACCTCTGAGAAGCCTCATTTGAGTTATTCACTGAGATCACAAAGAGGCCTAAAAGGACTCTTAATCCCAGAATCCCTTGCGGTACTTCACACCTACGCGTGAAGTAAGGGGTGACTGGAACCTCTCTCTCCTCATTGGAGGGGACCTGAGGTAGACCCCCCATGGAGCAGGCCAGGCTACAAAGCTCCAAGACTTCTATTGTTCTCTCTCTTTCCACGTGCTGACTTCAAGTGCTCAGAGACCCAAGCTCACCTCATGTTTTCTGCAACCATCTTCCTTTGTGTTAAGTTTTTGGCGCGCAGGCAATTCGCGGCCGGCAGTGTTCTAAATCCCGAGCTCGGATTGTCCAGTGAACGCATCTCAGTTTCTTGGAGAGCGTCAGACTATAACAGATTATCAGCCATCTGACACCTCTGCACCAGGACGAACAGAAGATCTGCTCCATCGCCGCACTCTGTTTTCCTTCACCAATCGCGGGCAAAGCGATTCACAAGTGAGGCTTCATTAGGTCTGGGCAGAATTAGCTTTAGAGAGTGTTTTTAACAATTGTTGATCAAAGCAGAAACTGTAATTTTTATCTTTGTTGGACTGCTGGGTCCTGGTTTTACCTGTTTAAAACTCTTATTGTTGGAACCACACATATTTGTTTAGTGTAACAGCGTTATAACTGGGTATTACTCTTCTGATCAGAAAGGCCGTATTAACTTGAATTCGGCCGTATTAACTTGAATTCGGCCATTGGTTTGTTTCTGTGAATGAAGGGAATTACTCCAAGTTGTGGCACGGGATTCGGACTGTGATCCGGCCTCAGGCATGCATTTCTCTTTTATTCTCTTTCATCCTCTTTTATCCTCTTTTATCCCCTTTCTACGAACAGACACAACACATATTCCCATGTAAACGTATGTCTGGAGACTAACTCCACCACCGCGCCATTACACACATAGGCCACACACCCACACACAAAGAGATCTATACACTCGCGGCCATCCAGACGCCTCAGAGACACAGATCGTGTAGGGCCGAACTCGGTCTCTTTTAGACATTCCACATACCCCTTCCACAAGCCTTGCTTGATAATGTTTCTTGCTTAGGTTAGTTTATGATAGTGATTTGTTTGATTAACTTCATTGATTTTTATTGGTGTTGCTTTGTTTAAATAAATTCTGTTATAATTTTAAGAGAGCAGTTGTTTGTGATTACTGGTGTATTTGCATTGTGATATAAGCTGGAAGGCTTTGTGTACGGATTTCACGCCTTCAATTTATTAAACATAGTTATTAATTATTAATGATATTAGTAATTAAATAACTAATTTGAGACTGATTTGAGTGATATTTTGGTTATATTTACCTGAGTACAGGTTGGTGCCCCAAAATGAGATTAAACATAGTTTAATGAAATTTTATTTATATTATTAATAATTAAATATAATTATTAAAGAATATAACCAAAGTTGACTTGATACAACCCCAACAAATGGTGCCCCGTGTGAGGCCTTCAATAAACCAGCTTTATTGCCCTGTAAATGCACAGTACTCCAAACTTTTCATCCTAAAAGAGATTTTTCTTGAGGAAAATTTGTCTTTTCATTTGAAGATTTACTTTTCTTGCTTGTTGTTTATTCAAAACAGACAGCAAGCTGTGGCTTAGTTTGTGTTGTATGTTGTTGAACATAATGATGCAGCCAGGGCGACTTTCTTATGAACTAGTTTGTTGCTTTAATCCCGAGTTTTATCCTGAAGTAATTCTTCTGAAGGAATTTATTTATTGTGAACATTCTCATTTTAAGCAAAGCAGACATCAAGTTGTGTTGTTGTGTTTTGGTGAGTTGAGTAGTTTTAATTTTTGTGTGCTCTTTGTTGTTTGAGACAACAATTTAGCCATTTGGCCAGATGAGAGTGTAACCTCATCATTGATGCCTAGCCAGCTGTCTGAGAGGTGTGAGTTCCTCTCTTCCTTTGAGGACTTGAGGTGTGAATCCCATCTCCTAGCTTCCAGAATAGACTGCAGCGATCAGTTGGGAAACCTAGATAAGATTTGCTCTTGTGTTGATCTACTTTTGTTGAGCTGCATGTTTTTTTTTTTAACAGTAATCCACTGTGGTTCCATTTTATTACGTAAAATGTGTACCAAGACCCTAGGTGAGCCGGGAGCTGAGACTCCTTTTGTATCAGACGACGCAGCACTGCAAGAATCTGCTGCCGGTCTGATGAACCTCTCCTCAGAGGAGAGTGCCAACCTATATAGCTATTCAATTAGCATTAGTGATAAGAAATTAGAGGAGCTAGTTGATCTTGTCAACCACCGAGCCAGGATCACCCCTAATAAAGACAGAATGTATGCAGAAGACATACATCAACCATGGGCCAAGGCTCACTGTGGATCAGACAATCCACCCCTTCAAGACGTAGTTGCTAATCTTATCCACCTCCCTATAGAGCAGCTCGACAGTCTGAACTCCTACACCCTCAGCACAGAGAGAAAGAGAAGAAAAACTAAAGGGCTTGGTTGAATATGCAAATCAACCAACTGGGAAGTCAACACGTACAATTTCAGATGATCTAGGCAAAATTCTCCTCCTTTATCAGCGCAAATCAAATGTGCGGAATGAGATACACCGGGAACAGCTAGCCCGGGTACAAGAAGAAGGACAGATCCCGCGAGACGACTTCGAAAGAATGCAGGATAAACTAAAGACCTTGCAGGAAAATTGCAAGGCCTTGCAGGATGAGAATAAAACACTGCATGAAAGCAGTAAACTGGCCGAACAGAAACGAAGTGACACGGTACCCAGATTTCAGGATAGGCAGGCAAGTACTGCAGTCCCCAGATCAGCTGAGGGAACCTCAGACGAAGGATGGGAGACTGAACCGAGCCCATGGAGGAGGGAGACAGACATGATGAAGGATCTGGAGGAGAGGGGAAGGCACCGCCGGGTCGACCCAGGCACAAAAGCGCACACGTCCTCAGACTACCCTGTAAAGAGCCGGGTGGGTAAAGATGAATTTCGCCACACCTCCCCAGACCATGAAGCACCAGCATGGGGAAACACCCCATGGCCCCCACATTCCGCAATACGCTTTGAGCCAAGAGAACCCTCACCCCGCAGGAGGAAGGACTTTACGCCCCCTAGAGACAGGAGGAGGCACGGGTCCAATCGGGTACCGAACAGATAGAACCTCAGGCCAAATAGAGATAGAAAGATCAAAGATAGAAAGGCCAAAGATCTGAAGCGTTTTGACCCAGATAGCCCAGATTCAAGTATTAACGACTACCTTAGAGAAGTCGACCATTGTCTCCTTGACCTGCCTCATGCGTCCTCACATGAAAAATTGAAACGGATCTGGAAGACTACGGCTAGGAGTGTCCGTGCTTTCATGGGGACACTCCCACCAAAGGTCCGATCTTTGCAGAAAGGAAACAAATCTGTTAGTCAGCACTTTCAAACTGCCAAGCAGAAAGTGTTGGACATGTTTGAATTAATTCAGGGAGCACAGGTAAGCATGGAGCAAGACATATCATCAGGATATGACTCCGATTCTGGACCAAGCCCCTCAAGAGATCAAACAACCCTGCTGAAAAAGCTCAGTAAAGAACCGAGCAGCCAGGATAACCCAAGGACTGAGGAAATAAGTCTAGTTTTCCCTGATTTTGACTGTGGAGCCCCGCTCCTTGGGGAAACGCCCCAGTTCCCTGACAGCTGTGACACCCTTTCACACCTTCACAGGTTTGAATCACCACATAGGAAGGGGGGTGACTTCTCAGCCCCCAGAGGCAGAGATAACACCAGGCCCCTTCCTGCTACCTGTAGGTTCCTATCGCAGGATTCACAGCTGAGGAATATCCAAACCTCAGATGACTCGGATGGCTCCCTTTTACCCAGCGATCAAAGAATGCGCATAAGGCTCATTGAATCTATGGCACAGGATGTAGAGCGGTTTGACCCAGATAACTCAGACCGCTGTGTTGATGATTACCTCGGAGCGATTAACCTGTGTCTCAGTGAGGTACCTGATGCATCCACAAGAGAAAAACTCAGGCTGATCTGGAAGACAACTTCCAAGAGTGTCCATAACTTCACGACTACCCTTCAGCCTGAGATCAGATACCAGTACTCTGCGCTTTGCAATGCTTTGCGCCAGGAATATTCCACCTACATTGACCCTGCATCTGCCCTTCTTAGTGCTTTCAGTGTCTTGC